CTTCCTATTTTACTTTCTACTTTATTTCCTATTTATTTCTTATTTTCTCTACTATTTTATTTTGTATTTTATTTCTTATTTTTTCTACTATTTTATATTTTATTTCCTATTTTCTCTACTATTTTATTCCCTATTTTAGTTTGTATTTTATTTCTTACTTTATTTTCTATTCTCTCGACTATTTTAATTTCTATACGATATTTGCTATTTTATTTTCTATTTTATTTTGCATTTTATTTCCTACTTCCTCTACTATTTTATTTTGTATTTTATTTCCTATTTTCTTATCTATTTTATTCTCTATTTGATTTTGTATTTTATTTCCTACTTTATTTCAAATTTTCTCGACTATTCTATTTCCTATTTTACTTTCAACTTTATTTCCTATTTTCTCTACTATTTTATTCTCTATTCTACTTTGTATTTTATTTCCTATTTTCACTATTTTATTTTTTATTTTCTTGACTATTTTATTTCCTCCGTTATTTTCTATTCTCTCGATTATTTTAATTTTTACGACATTTCCTATTTTATTGTCTATTTTATTTTGTATTTTATATTCTAGTTTCTTTACTATTTTCTTTCTATTTTCTTTCTATTAAATTTCCAATAATATTTTATCAATAAATTTTATTTTTTTTTACTCTAATCAAATTTGTTTGAACACAATGCACCAAGTTCCTGTTTTATTTTCTTTTATTTTCACCCTTTCTTTCACACCGTTCAAAATTGTTTTTTTAATTCACTTTTCTTTTTATCTTGTTCTGTTTCGTAAATAAATAAATATTTTCTATATGCACAAAATTGATATATTTTTTATTTTTCTATTCTTTCACTTCCATTATTCCACTCTATACATTGAATTCTTTCAATCTCGACTAATTTGTTAGATGCGTAACTGATTTATTTTCAGGGAGCTCTAAAATTGCCTTTAATGATAATAGTAATAAAGAAGAAAAAGAAGAAGAAGAAGAATATGAGTAGATCTTTTCTTGGGATACTTTTTCAATTATTTCCTAACTAACTGTATTAGTATACCTTTATCAACACCAGATAATCATTTTCGACTAGACATATTACGCTTATTAGTCTCTTAATTCTTTAATCATTATTATATGTACCACGCTGTCTTTTATAGCCGAATGGCGGTTGTATTATATTTAATATTTTACAGGGATAAGAAATTCCTGGATTTTTTCATACATACATAGTATGATTACATCATTACTGGAGCGATTCATTAATGAAGTTGCGTGCATTATATCAAATTTTTCAATGACCTTCCTGATTCTTGTAGACTGATAATGTGAGCAAAGGGAGGAAATATAATTATTTTTATGATAATGTCTAGATTGTTGATGAGGAAAATTATAATCTTTAGTGAACTTTATATAATAGCAGAAACATGACACAAAGGGTTCTGCGAAAGTTTCGCTTTTAGCAAAAATATAATAAATTCGAAGAAAAATAATTTTCTGTTTGGATTTTAGTTTTTTTTCTAGTTTTCCATTTATTTATTTCTTCTAGTTTTTCTATTCTAATTCTTCTCTTCTCTATTTATTCTTTCACTGAATTTATTGAATCTTGATTAATTTAAGTGAAAAAAAAAAATTTTGGAAAAATTCAGGAAAAAAGGAACTGAAGAAGAAATTAAGAAAAAAGGAAATAAATAAGAAGAAGAAGAAGTAAATAAAGAAGGAGGAGGAGAAGAAGAAATGAAGAAAAAAACAGTTATAAATTTTTAAAATAATTTACAAAACAAGATGAGAAATGTGGTCAAATTTGTTTAGAATTGATCTTCGTGGGAAACGCACAATATTTAAATTGCTTTCTTTTGCAGAAAGCAGTCAAGCAAGAAAATATGCAATTCGTTAAAGTTTTCTGTTTGATATCATGAAATGCGTTCCTACTGGAGAAACAAACTAAGAAAATGTGCATTTAAGAAGGTGATAATAAATAACAATCAAAATTCGAATAAAAGCGAAAAAATCTATATATTAAGTAAAAAAAATTCTATTGAACTAAATTAAATTCTATTAAATTAAATTCTACTGATCTAAATTAAATTCTATTAAATTAAAATTTATTAAATAAAATTCTATTAAATTAAATGAAAATAAATTCTATTGAACTAAATTAAATTCTATTAATTTTATCTATTATTTATTTTTCCTATTTATTTTATCTATTAAATAAAGTTCTATTAAATAAAATTCTACATTAAAAAAAAAATAATTCTCATCAATCAGAATTGCTCCAATTATTATTAATACAAGTTCAATTCGATTTTCTCTAAACTTCCGTTTCGAAATATTAAGAGATCTATATTTTAACTACGGCAGTTGGGTGGACGAGATTATCTCCGATAATCGATAATCGTGTCTATCTAATATATAACGCTAGACTAGAACCATTATATATACGCACGTATGACTTTAAATTAATGGTCACCTGTACTCAGATATTGCACTATTTTTTGTTACGCTCCGCATCTTGGAAGAACAATATGAAATAATCACTAATCACTATACAGAAAATCGTAGTCAATTATTCTCATCACATTCTTTTTTTCCTACACTGAAAAACATTCATTTTGCTTCAAATAACCGATTACCTGTCTATTATCAAATAAATATTTACTTGAATCAAATAATTTTTATCTAAGTCATTTAAATTGATAATTTTAATCAATTCAATTTGCTTTAAATACCGAAATTATTGGTTCGAATCGAATTCATTTGATAATAGACAAGCATTCGGTTATTTGAATTAAATAAATTTTTTTCAATAATATGTATAGTCACACTCTTTAAATTTCAATTAGTAAAAATTACTAATTTGAATTTAATTATTTTAATTAAAATTTAATTTTAATTTAATTAATTTGAAATTAACTAATTTGAATTAGTGACTGACTTTTTGCTCTTAAATTAGGAAATTTAACTAATAAATAAGAAGAAATTACCTATTAAAATTTTACTAATAAACTTAGTAGTAGAAATTACTATTTTTTAGTAAAATTTACTAATTCAAAAACAAAAACACAGTCACTCATTCAAATGAATAAACATTTTTACTAATTCAAGTTTAGAGAGCAAGTGAATTCAACTGAATTGAATAATATTATTTTTTCCTTTAATTAATTATTTCCTCAGATACTATATACTTTGAACGTAAACAAATAATTAACGAGAAATGAAGAGAGTGTAATTAGTGAAAGTGAAAATAATAATTTTCAGGGTCATGGGAGGCTGCGATATATTCAGAAAGGTGCGCAACGCAAGGAACAGGTATTTATAATAAAGGAATGTGAATATAATTCTAACTTGAGGCTATAAAGAAACCAGAAGGTCGTCAGTTGATTGAATGAATACGTTTAACAGACTAAAACTGTCACTTTCTTTTGAATGAAAACATAAATGGTCATCGAATCACTTCCTACAGTCATTTTAACCCTTTTATTTAGAATTCAAATTTTTTTTTTCTTTAGACCAGAAATTTATTTTTAGTATTTTTTGTTCCAGATTTTTCTTAGGGTCAATATCACAATGGAGCTTGAAGTGAATGAAAAATTTATTAATTATTAATAACTATTAACAATCAATTAATATTCTATCCTTCAGGATGTTGTTCAGCAACAATTTAGGTAAATACCAGTCGATAAAAATTATTAGAATTAGAGCAAAAAAAAATGTATGTAAACTAATTTTTTTCAAATTTTGATTGTCTGGGAATAGATAGAGAATTAAATAAATGACTTAATAATTATTTACTAATTATTAATTACAATTAACTATACAAATAATTATATGCAAAAATGTAATTTAAAAATAAAAAATTGGACGATATTGAGAAGAAATATATCAGAGAGGAAAAGAGAAGGCGAATGAGATGAAAGTTTGATCCATCATCATCATTATCATCGCCGAAACAGAAGATCGAAATAAAAGCACGATTATCTTGAGAAGAAAAATACCGCGCGCGCATATATTGCATGCCATATGTCATTAAGAATTAATCAATTTGGTGCATCATTATTTTGCAATAAAGTAGAATTGACCTGGTTACTCTATTAATTGGAATAATGCAGGTGAAATTTAAAAACACTTTCTGCGTTTTACGTTAATACAATATTAAGTGAACGAGATTGTAAAAATTCTCATTTCACATTATTACTTACAATTAAACAAATAGCTCAGTCAAATCATTTATATATCTTTGAAAACAAAAATAATATTATAATCATTCATTATAATTAAAATCAATTCATTACAATGCTAATTAATTATAATTAAAGTTAATTCATTATACACCCAGAAAAAAGATATATTTGACTTAGAGCCAACTAGACGATTTATTTGTTTCAAATAAATTTTATTTGGTGTAAATAAAATTTTACATGGTCACAGTATTTCTAAGGATATCAAATTGAGACAAAAATCGAATTAAAAGCGTTGCGAAGCAACGTTTTGATTCGATTTTTGTCTCAATTTGATATCCTTCGAAATAATATTTTAATTTTACAAATAAAAGTTTTATTTATGTTGAATAAAATTTTAATTTTAAACAAATAAATATTTCAGTTGTCTCTAAAACAAATATACTTTTAGTTAACTCAAATGAAATATAATTTAAATAAAATTTTTCTCTTTGTAGATGTATGTTTTGCATAACTGAGAAAATGCATATTTGACTTTCAACTAAATAAATTTTATTTGTCTCGAATAATAATTTTTAATTTTTGACCAAAAAAATATATTTGTGCCGAATAAAAAATTTATTTGTGTCGAATAAAAAATTTACTTGTGTCGAATAAAAAATTTATATGTGCAAAATAAAATTTTTATTTCAAACAAATGTAAAAAGTTTAGGAGACTGTCAGACAAATATAAAATTTATTTGACACAAACATATTATATATCTGGTTCAAATAAAACATATATTAAATTCTTCGTGTGTAATTATTGCAGATGATGTGCAGAAAATGAGAATTAACTCACCGTGAATATCATTCACACAAATATGAAGATCCTCTCGAAATACAGGAACTTCAGCGTTGCACTGGCATGAGCACGAGCTGACAGGAGTATAAATTCTTGCATTTGAAGGATTGCGAAAAACAGGACTAGCTGTTCCACTGCTCAATATTTTACACGCCTTGGAACATGATCCTGTCAACAATTTAAATGTGAAAATTTCGTTTTTTTTACACTTGATCAAAAATAATTAACTGTCGTATAATTCTACACTGAAAAAAATTATTTTATTAAAATATCTACTATTATCAAATAAATATTTACTTGAATCAAATAATTTTTATTTCAGTCATTTTAAAGGATAATTTTAAACAATTAAATTTGCTTTAAATACCGAAATTATTGGTTCGAATAGAATTTATTTAATTTAAATAAAAATTATTTGACTCAAGTAAATATTTATTTGATAATTAGACGCAAGTATAAATTAATCGGTTATTTGAATCAAATAAATTTTTTTCAGTGTATTATTTTATAATATTTATTTTTATTACCAATTTATTATTAATCCATAATAGTAATATTAATTATTATTATTTTTATTATTCACTATTCTCAATTATAATTTAATAAATAAAAAAAATTTATAAGTAAAAATTCATGATGTTATATAAAGCCAACAAAATATGTATTAACAGTATAAATTGAACACTGGGAAAATTATTGAAAGAAAGAATACATCGTTTAATAATCTTATTAATCACTGTAATTATAGTAATTTGATTTAAAGCATATTTTGGATGCTTTAAAAATTATTTTGTCTCTTCTGGATTTTTTAAAATAGTCTTTCGTGCAGACAATGACCATCTTATTAAAAGCAAATTAACATATAACGAGTATTCCTTCCACGAAATGAGTGTGTTAAAAAATTATTACGTAAAAATCACCGATAATAATTGCTTTAAATGCATTCGTGTTTCCTTTTTCCTCAAAAAAAGCAAAAAAAAAATTAGAGCACTGATTTTAGAGTTATTCAAAAATGTATTAATTAAACGTCCAACAGTATATGAAACAAGGCAGAAGAAAAGTATTTTGTTAATTTAGAAAATTTTCAAAAAAATTGCTAGTAAACAAAACATTAAAAAATAATGTAACAAAATTACTAAAATCAGGCTTCGCACTCATTTACTAAACCCTACTATTTACTACTTTTTTTATACGTTATGCTACTATTTGGTTACTTTTTTTTAGATTTCACCCACTAAAAGCTACTATTTCTGTTTTTTTTTAAAAATTCCAGTACTTTAAATTCGCTAATACTAGAAATAAAAATCTATTCTCAAAAATTATAATCAAATTCTTTAAAACGATTCAATTATATTCAAAAAATATTCGAAATCCAATTATTTTCAATATCCAGTATTTTAATAAAATTTCGCAAAAGAATTCAATTATTTAAAAATCAATTGATAAAATTCATCCAAAATTCAATTATTTTCATAAATAATAAAATTTCCAGAGGAATTCAATTAATTTAAAATAGAATTTTCAAGAAAATATCGAAAAAATCAATTATTTAACAAAATTTTTATACAATTCTTCACAATAATTCAATTCTTTCACTAATAATGACATTTTTCATGGAAATTCAATTTTTTAAAAAATTTTTTGATAAAATTCTCAGCAAGAATTTAATTATTTTCATAAATAATAAAATTCTCAGCAAGAATTCAATTATTTTCATAAATAATAAAACTCATCGAAGAATTTCAATTATTTTTACATATAAACTATTTTAAATTAATTAATCAAAAAATACAATTATTTTCATGGATAAAGTTTTCCGCAAGAATTCAATTATTTAAAATAAAATTTTCATAATATTTATTGTATTTCGAAAAAATTAAATAATTATTTAAAACAATATTTATAAAATTCTCATGAAGAATTCAATTATTTTCCAAAATAACAAAATTTTTCACAAAAATTCGATTCTTTTTAAACATTTTAATAAAATTTTTCTCAATAACTCAATTGTTTTCATAAATAATAAAATTATTTTCAGGAATTCAATTATTTTTGAAAATTTTAATAAAATTCTTCCGAAGAATTCAATTATTTACATAAATAATTCTTCGAAAGAATTCAATTATGTCAATAAATAACAAAATGATTGTCGAAAATCCAATTATTTTGAGTCATTTTAATACAATTCTTTGCAAAATTCAATTATTTTCTAAAATAACAATATTTATCACCACAATTCAATTATTTTTAAAAGTAATAAATTTCTTCTTGGAAATTCAATTATTTTTAAAAATTCTAATAAAATTGTTCGCTAGAATCCAATTATTTTCATAAATAGTAAAATGATTTTTCAGAATTCAATTATTTTCAAAAATATTTAACATAATACCACACAGATATTCAATTATTGGCAAAAATTTTAATAAAATTCTTTGTAAAATTTAATTATTTTTAAAAACTTTTCGCAATTCAATGATAAAATTCCCAAACAGAATTCAATTATTTAAAAAAATTTTTGTAAAAATCTTCGTAATAATTCAATTATTTTCATGAATAATAAAAATTTCTCAGGAATTCAATTATTTAAATTAGAATGTGTATAAAATTAGTCGAAAGAAATCAATTATTTAAAAATTTTTTATAAAATTCTTCGCAAGAGTTAAATTATTTTTATAAATATTTAAATTCTTTCATGAATAATAAAATATTCGTTGCAGGAATTCAATAATTGTATGGAAAAAAATTATACTATTATTTAATAATAAAAATAATAAAAATAAAATAAATAAAAATGAATAAAAAAAATAAAACATAAAGATAAAAAAAATGAGATAAACGAAAATAAAATAAATTAAGTATGGACACAATAAATCAAAAATCTATAATCGATGCTAAATGAAAGAGTGCATGTCCGAATAATATCTAACGGGATTTGTTTTTTAAGAATTGCTCCTTTTGTATGTAAATGTCAGTTTTTGGTGTTCCAATCCTGTCATTCGAATGACTTTCAAATGTAACATTGAAAGATTGAGTGCATAATTTTTTTCTTACTGAAGATTGAACACACCGTCAAGTGCAGACAGGTAGAGTCAGTCAACTGTCAGATCCTTTTATCTTAACTTCAAAAAAAAAAAAAAAAATAAAATAAAATAAATAAATAAAATTTTGGCAAACTTCTGATCCGCATGTAATGCGATAGAATCATATTAAAGAATTTAACGCACGATTTCTTATATCCTTTTACAAATTCGCAACGTTCAGAAACATTTCCAAAACTCTGAACAATTTTCCAAAAAACAGAAAACAAAGAAAAAAACAAAAAAATTGAATACAAATATTTTAAGGCCTTCATGTCTTCAAATATTCAATATTCAACTTTAGTTGTCTCACTTATATTCTAAGCCCAAAAATGTATTGAAATTGAAATAAATTTTTTTTTGAAACAAACAAAAAATTGGTTCTAAGTCAAATATATACCAGTTTTCAGGTTGAATGTACTCGAAATAATCGCGAGACGTTTGAATGAAAATTGAAAGATGAGAAGAAAAGTGCAAATAACTAAAGTCATAAACATGATGACTCGATTCAATTCTCTTTTTTCGAAGTATAACGAAAAAAAAAATTATAATCAAGGTGACCAGCTGGAATGTACATAGAAATTGTTTCAACTGAAAGGTCCATTTGATTTGTTCCATAACAGTTTCTATATGATCTCTCTTATTTGAAAATGTCCATATATGAAGCGTGAATAAATCGATAATAGTCGCACACAATATGTATAATACATATTTTGACTTCATTGTGTATATTAACTGAAGGAGAAAAACCATCTCTCAGGAAGACACTTTCCAAATAATGATGGGTACACGGAAATCGCTTTAATTTTACAGCATCACACATTGCGGTATATCAAACAACAGTAAACGTACATACGTACGATAAATTTTACAATCTATCAATATTTTTTTTATACTATAAAAATTTTAACTCCAATTTTATTTCATTACTGTACCACTAGATCGTTTATTTATATTTTAACTTTACCATAGAAAATAAAAATTATATTTTAATAAAAAGTTAAATTAAAAGAAATTTTATTTTTTCCTTAGTTAGTCCGTTTATACTATAGATAAATAAAAAATCACACAATTAAAATTAAAAAATAAAAGGTGAAATAAGAATAAATTTTATTTCCGTTGGTGGACTGGAAAAAAATTTATTTGATTCAAATAACTGATTAGTTGACTTTTATCAATTAAATATTTATTGGAGTCAATTAATTGGTATTTGCTTCAAAGTTTAAATATTGAAATTATTGGTTCGAATACCATTTAATTGACTCCAATAAATATTTAATTGATAATAGTCAAGTAATCAGTTATTTTAATTAAATTAATTTTTTTAGTGCGTAATGTAAATAAATAAAAGAATAAAGAAAATATTAAAAAATAAAATTGAATAATAATAATAATAATATTAATAATAATAATAATAATAATAATAATAATAATAATAATAATATATTTTTGGTAATAATTTAAAAAAGATGAGAAATTGCTATGCAAGTAGTTTTTGAAAACAATGGACCATTTTTTGTATGTTCCTGGTTTTAAGAGTTATTGCTCTGTAAACACTGCAAATGCAATAGACAAATTACCTCACAAAGATTCGCAATTATTATTATATTTGCTCGGACAATGTGACATGATTTTCTCTCCTTATACATTCGTTAGCTGAGAAAAAAAAGAAGAAGAAAAATACCAGCCATTAATCAGAATTGTCTTTAGCTTTTCTTAAATTACCTTCAATTGTGAAAATATCTCCATCTGCATGTCGTGTGACTGAAAGTTCCTGGCCGAGCACGATTCGTAGAACGTGAAGGCAATTCAGGAGGATAGGGACTAGAAGATGCATTTTTTTCTCAGCATTCTGCAAAAAATAATTAAAAAACGAAAAATTAAATAATTTTTCCAAATAGAACAAAAAAAATCAATTCACTAAAAAAAAAAAGAGAACCAAATTCATTAAAAAAAATTACAAAAGAAAAATTAAAGAAGAAACAATCTACAAAAAATAAAATAAATTTTCCAAATAGAAAAAAAATTAATCCAGTGAAAAAAATTAAAGACGAAAAATTAAATAAAAAAATTTAACAACAAAAGAAAAAATAATCGCTTCTAAATTTCTGAATTCGAAAAAAAATCATTTATAAATTATAAAAACTAAAAAATATTATTTCATTACATTTTATTGTTCGAGAGGAACATATTTTTTCCCACTACAATCATCAGAGAGAATAAAAAAAAAATCTCAGTCGATAATTTCACATCTGACTGCAGGTGTCAATACAATTAGAAATACTTTCCTTATTGTAAGAGTCAATAAATTGAGATAAAATTTACATGATCAGAAAAAGGTTAACAAGAAAACAAGGTTCCATGATCCTTGTACGTAAAGCGTGATATCAGTTTTATCGAGAATATATAATCATCGGAGAATAACGGTCTCGCACAGAGACAAATAATTTTTTCATCAATTTCTACCCGACGAACTGCGGCATTTAATTATATGAGAGGTTTTTCAAATTCAGATTATGTGTGTATTCACACAATAATATACGAAAATAAAGATAAATAAAGAAAAAATAAAAAAAATAAAAAAATAAAGAAAAATAAAGAAAATAAAGTAAAATACAGAAAACGAAGAAAAAAACAAAAAAAATATATATTAAATAATCTAAACACTTATTAAATTTAAACAACTTAATTACTCACATGATTAATTACTTAATTATTAGTTATTTAACTAATTAGTTAATTGAAAGTAATTTTTCTTTTCACCTAATTACAATAAAATTTTTCGATGTTCAAAACTAATGAAATTAACACTAATATGTAATTACGATAGTTACGTAATTACAATAGTAATATAATTACAATAATGACAGAATTGTAATTAAATAAATTGACACATTTTAATTAGATAATCAAGTTCGACACAAATAATACCCAAGTTTTGTGTACGGCGCAATTAAATTTATTGTCTTGAGAGAATAAATTTAATTATAACATTAAATAAAATTACAATTAAATAAATTGTTTACACATAATAAAATTAAATAAAAATATAATTAATGATTTTATACAATTAAATGTGTATTAAACGATTATTTTGATGGAAATTTTTAATTACGATTTGCATTTTAGTTGAAAACATCATTTCTCTTTTATAATTTTATATATAAATAAAAATTAGCATATTGATTCACTCATTTACAGCTTTTCGGTTCGTTAATAATGTGAATATGAACTAAAAAAATTCTAACAAGATATTTCAGTAAATTAGAAATTCTCTCTCACATCAAAATAAATTTATGAAAGCTGTTAACACAGTGAAGAAAATAGTCTATGCTTGTTTAACTTATTTGGCACTAATTAATTTAATTAGTCACTTTTGTTCTTCTCTATGAATATAGATATGGATCCAATTGGATCAAAATTTCTTAAATTTCCTCAATTCTATCAAAAGTGTCGTAAAATATTATTAATATTCGTAATACTTACAAATAATTTTGACACTTGTTTTCTAAAATTCAGTGAAAAAAGAAATTTTACTAAAAATTTCTTTTTATTTTATTAAAAATTTGATCAAAGTTTTTATTGAAAGAAAAATAAAATTCAATAGCGAATTTTTCAAAAGGGCTCAACTCGAAAAAATCATTTTCACATAAGAAATGATAGTAAAAATGATTCTTACAGTTTTCAAAGTTGTGTCCTTTTTGCAATTCACGATATTTCAATTATTCTCACAATAATATTTTTTAATTAAAAAAAAGTATTTTTAATAATATAAAATGGTTTAATTTCTCCACTTGAGAACGCAAAGATCATCAGTAGATGGCGTGGCACCTGGTTTTGTCAACTGAACTGCCATCTAGTGGTGACCTTGGCGTTCTCAGGTGGAGAATATCATCTCCATATTGAATCTCAAGATGTTCGTAATTATTTATATTTTTTAAATATAAATTTATAGAAATTTGTGTAGAAAAATATTTCTTTTACAATTCGTTGATTATAAACGTTTTGAATGAAGAGGAAAATAAATCGAAATAAAAACCTCGAAGAAAAAAATACATGACCAAATAAAAATTAACAATTAAAAAAATAGACACGTTTGAATAATAAAAAATAAAGTCAAAAAGCACGTTTAATGGTTCTTTATGACTTTATTTTAAAGAAAAGAGAAAAGAAGAAAAAGTAAGGGGAAAGAAAAAGAAATTTATTTCTTGCGTGGATTATTCAATTTTATAACAAGAGTTGAAGCGTAAATATGAATAATAATATATACTCTCGTTATGATGATCGGTCATATGTGACATGTGCTTATGTCCGCATGTTCAAGTCATTAAGTGAATATGTCGGATAACATATAATAATTGCACTATCAAGTGTTTTTCACTAAACCACCTTCTCCGCGAAACATGTGCTTCTACCATATGATTTCAACATCAGGTCTTATCAAACACCCATATTTTACAACCGAACACTATTTTCTGTCATTACGAGTAATATTATAATAATATTTTTCTTCCACAAAAAACTCACATTCAGTTTAACTAAAACAGAAAAAAGTCTAAACCAAACATTTAGAAATTAAAAAAATATTCCTTTGCTTTTTATTATTTTTCAAATATTTTTAAATTTTATTCTTGTATTGAAGTACTCTACTCTAAATCTGAATTAATTAAAAGTCGTCCACTAATTCAAATTCAGATAATTGAAATTATAATAATATTTAATATTTATATACATAATTATAAATAAAAATAAGTAAATAAACAAAATTTTGTAAAAATAAAAGTACAAATCTCACTTAAAGAATTTGAGTCTTAAATGATTGGACCAAAAGTACATTGAAGATGCACAGATAATTTCATGACAGACGACATTATCAATTTAGCACTGAAACTTGTTTTCTCTTTACTGCATTGCTCTAAATCCTTTTACTTTTTCACGTATTTTTTAAAAACGAAAAAAAAATTCTCAACTTAATTTCGTTAATTAAATGATACAAAATTGTCTCCTTAATTATTATACATAATTATCAACGTGAGAAAAATTTACGAATTCATCACATTTTTATCTATACATATAAAAAACAAACTCCTTTTTTCGCCCAATTTCATCGCTTCTTGATTAAATTTTTCGAATATGTTAATTTTTCTTTTTTTTTCAATTTTTAAATAAGTACAAGAAAATATTTATCGTTATTTGGTGTACAGTTGATAAAATATTTAATTACAACCGTCATTATAATATAAAAGGTGTCTGAATTTATTTGATTTAAATAAATAATTTGAAGGACTGGTTCCGTCAATAAATAAATAGAAAAAAATAAAAAAATCTCCTCGAATGTTTAAAACATCGAAAATTTAAAACCTCGAAAGCTCGAAATTTCGAAAATTTTTAATACCTCAAAAAATTAAAACCTCGAAATAATAAAACCTCGAAATAAATTTAAAATCTAAAAAATTCAAAATCTCCAAAAATTAAAACTTCGGAAGTTCAAAACCTTGAAAATTTTAGACCTCGAAAGTTCAAAACTTCCAAAGATTAAAACCTCAAAAGTTCAAAACCTGGAAAAATCAAAATTTTTCAAAGAAAAAATTATTTTTCTAAAAGTTTTGAACGTTCAAATAAGAGAAATATTTTTTCTTTTCTCTGCGGAAAAGAAAAAATATTTCTCTTATTTGAACGTTCAAAACTTTTAGAAAAATAATTTTTTCTTTGCATTACACTTATTAATATTATTTTATCCACAAGTTTCTATGTACAAAAGGTTTCTCTCTTTAAGTAGCGAAAAATAAAATAAAAAAATAAACTATTTTTATACAAATAAATAAGAAAAATAGTTGATTTAATTTTTTTCCCAAGGACGAAAAAATACATGTCATCCTTGGTCAGAAAGCTGACAAAAGAAATTCCAAGAAAGATGAAACAATCTTTTCATTATTTTACGGTAGCACTTCGTTTTTCACGCGTACGTTGAGAAAACAATTTATTTTCTAAACAAGCAATATTTCAATGTCGAATGACATTTTCAATTATAAAATCAATTTTTTAAATTTCCTTCTCTACTAAATTAATTTTTTAATAGTCAAAAGAACAAAATTTATTTTTCCCCCGCACTTAATTTTTTTTTTTTTGCTACTAAAATCTAAATTTATAATAAATAATTATTAAAAAGTCTATTTAGCACTGTTTACTTAAAACTACTAAATTGCAACACAAATTGATACCAAAAATGTGGTTCAAATAAAAAACTGTTCCAAATTTTTGGTATAAATTAAAAAAATTTCTTTTTTAAAATTTAAAAAAACAAAATTTTTTTTTAATTTTTTAAAAATTTTTTGTTTCTATTTTTTTGATATTTTTAAGAAAACAGTGAGGAAATAGGAATTATACATTATAGCCTCAAATGTTACAGGTAAAATGACTACTTTCGATGATATGAAAATCAGAAATTACACTCATATTAAATTAATATGATATGACAATTTCTCAATCAGTGAAATGAGAAAATAATATCAGTATTATTAGTCTGAAGAAAAAAAAATTCTCCTTATTTATTTTTTTTTTTATTGATACTCTTTTTCTTCTCTGGTAGCATTCCACACTCGAAATGATATTTAGCCGCTGAGAGTTTTAATGAAAGAAGAAATTCGGAAATGAGTGTAATTTCGTGAAGACGAAGCGAGGGAAGTAACAGTTGATTCTTGATCCAGCAGCAGCAGCAGCAGCAGCTCTGGACCATATCTCTTATACATATAAAATACCGTTTCTTATTTATACACGCACACACGCACACATGCATTGCAACAGGTGCCTGGCGGGAGTTGAAGCTCGAAAGAGAGAAGCACTTTCTTGCAG